GAAAAGGTAAGAGAGAGAGAGAGAGAGAGAGAGAGAGAGAGAGAGAGAGAGAGAGAGAGAGAGAGAGAGAGAGATGGCAGGACATCAAGCATGTTGAAAAGGTGAGTGAGGATCTCGAAACACGCATCTGCATTGAAAGAGGCTTGGAATGACTCGCGTGTTCAGAATCTTCAGATATTCAAATCGAGACATTACTCGAGCATGATCCCACAGGATGACTGGGTGTGTCTTCGGCAAGCCAAGTGCGTGGTCACCATTTCCGTGACTCCCATCGACACAACACGATCATAAAACACATAAGAAACCTGACACTCAGCACAGCAAAGGGAAACTCGAATGATTTGAAGCGCATAGAGGCTTAATAACAAATCAAAGAAAAACTTGAAACAATGAGTTTTGCCAGGCTTCGATTAAAAAGAGCCACTTTTGCGTCGAAACAACTCAGAGTCTGGAGAAGAGTCGAGCCGGAAGGACGCTGGCTCACACGACCGGGAGAAGATGCGTGTGTGATCGCCTCTAATACGCGTGCGCACTATAACTTTCTCTGCATCCTGTAGTAGAACCCGCCCCCTATAATAGCGGAATAAAAAAGAAAGCCCAATACGGCAAGCCCAAAGACTCAAATTGTCGACCCCCTTGATAAGCCCAGGCGGTGTCTAATACCCCTGTTCAGGGCAAAATAAGAAGCGGACGGCGGACAGGGCTAAGGTCCTGCGCTGGGAGAGCGGGATAGCGAAAGAATGGGTGCAACAAACGACGGAGGTCACCGCAAAGGAGGGCACCGTTCAATCGGACACTCAGCAGATCCGACCGAACTACATGAATGATTGATCACTAATGTAATCAAATCTTCACCAACCTATGAATTAGTACTTAGTCGCGGAATGCGTTTGCTGTCCTGACCACTAGGCAAGATCGAGGATTGCTTTGCCCACCGTTGTAATGCCCACCCTCCGTGTATTGAGCTGCGTTGATCTTGATCTTGATACACCTGTTGAGGAAATCGTGCGGCTGAGCGGTCGCATTAACTTCGCGAGATGCTATGTGACTCCCATTAACGTACAGGCGAAGATGGCATGCTTCCTCGCTCCAGCCACCACTGCCCATCAACAGCAGCTCGCAATGCGATGAGTTCACTGCGGTCACCGGCCTGACTTTATCCCTGCAAAGAGAAGGAATGAGATTAAAAAGCATATTAATTAAGAATCACTGCGATCCCATCCTGACATATATTCCTGTCATTACAGCATCACACCGACGCAAACGGATAGAAGTTTGTGTGCCACGTGTCGCAGCCAGAATGGACCACATCTTACCTTGCACTACCCGCACTCACACGATGACACCTGGCAGGTTGGCACACCTGATTTAAAATTTCCTTCATTCTTGTTTGTTTTCCTTTCGTTTTTAAGTTTTGACTCAATCACTCACTCATTTGCACTCACGCAATCACTCACTTCATGCACTCCTCTTCCTCTCTCCATTCGCCCATTCCCCTCACTCGCTCACTCCACCCCCTGGATTTCCTCGATAAGTCCATGAATCAATCGATCAGTACTCACTCAATCGTACGATCAATCAACCAGCAGAAATGGTGTAGGGGGGTAATTGCAGAAATAGCACGTTTTTGGAGTTTCGCAGCAGAAATGTTGTAGGGGTGCGAATTTGCGAAATATGTTGGTTTTTTTTTTTTGCAAGGAAACTGGGAGTCTCGGACCCCGCCTGCAAATATTTTTTGTGTGAAAAAAAAAAAAAAAACACGACCTCTAAAGCTGCAATGAAAGATATACTTTTGCGACGAAACTTGGGCCCCCGCGGCCCCGCCCATATTTTTTGCTGTGAAACTACGGGGACGCGCTATTTTTGAAACTTACCCTTAATCAAGCAATCAAGCAATCACGCAAGGCGGCAAGCAACCTCACGTCAGCGACAAGTCGAACGGCGGCATGGTGGAACAGTCAAAAACAGAGTTTGGGAGAAAAGTTGGTCACTGTGAATAAAAAAGAGGCACCTCTTCCCGTAGACTGGGTTCAGTCACTCTCACTCACTGGGTGAGTTAATCACCCAATCACCTTTCTGGAGAGTTTTCACTCGCAATCACTCGGTTAACTGAGATCACTCACTCTTCTCCCTCACTCCATAGGCTGTGGTTACAGGATAGTCATTCAATCAATCAATCGAAATCAATTAATCGAAATCAATTAATCGAAATCAATTAATCAAAATCAATCAATCAATCAAAATCATTAATCAAAATCAACCAACCAATCAATCAATCAATCAATCAATCAATGGATCAACCAGTGAATCAATCAATGAGTCAATCAATCGATCCATCCATAAATCAATCAATAAATCAGAAATCAATCAATCAATCAATCAAGCTGGCAAGCAAGCAATCAACCAGCCGAACAGCGACATGAGGAACACAGTCAAAATCATATTTCTGGGCAGCACTGCGTTTTCTTTTTTCAATCCAAGCGGTAAGGGCGGGGTGAAAACATGCATAAGAAGTCGCCATTCATGAAAAAAATCCCACTGACGGCTGTGGCATGCAAGCGTTGACATCACATCTCTATGGAAAATCGAAATCGAAAGTGAGAGAAGGCCGAGAGAGAGTCAGACAGACAGAAAAGAAGGAACGGCAAATAAAGAGAAACGATGCAGACAGAGGGGACGGCGGGCTAAACGACAGCTATTTTTTAGTAAAATGTTCCTTTCCTTTCTTCACAGGAGAGTGGACAAAGGTCACATAGCTGCTTACCCGTCCTGGTGCACGATAGAACCAATTTCCGTGTAGATCTTGGCTCCCTTTTGAGCAAGCTTGATTGACGGCACTGTCTTGTTGCGCCCATTGAAGAAGAAATCGCAATCTTTCAGCGGCTCCTCGCAGGAGGCACAGCTCGTCCCATTGCAGGGCTTCTGCGTCTCCATGCAGTCGTCTCCTCCTGTGCAGGGCTGCGGCGGCGCCTGGCAGTCGTCTCCCGTGCAATTCTTCGGTGGCTGTGGGCAGTTCTCCCCTGTGCAGTTCTGTGGTGGCTGGTGGCGGTTGCACCCTCCGCAAGGCGGCGGCGGTGGCATGGGGCAGCCATCTCCATCTCCGCTCCATGGCTCCGGTGGGCAGCCATCTCCAGCGCGGTTCTTCGGTGGCTGTTGGCAGTTCTCTCCTGTGCAGTTGCTTGGTGGCTCGTGGCGGTTGCATCCTCCGCAAGGCGGGGGAGGTGGCATGGGGCAGCCATCTCCATCTCGTCTCCAGTGTCTCCACGGCTGCGGGCAGCCGTCTTCACTGCCATTCTTCGGTGGCTGTGGGCAGTTCTCTCCTGTGCAGTTGCTCGGAGGCTGGTGGCGGTTGCGTCCTCCGCAAGGCGGAGGCGGAGGCGGTGGCATNGCAGTTCTTCGGTGGCTGTGGGCAGTTCTCTCCTGTGCAGTTGCTCGGAGGCTGGTGGCGGTTGCGTCCTCCGCAAGGCGGAGGCGGTGGCATGGGGCAGCCATCTCGATCTCCGCTCCATGACTCCGGTGGGCAGCCATCTCCAGTGCAGTTCTTCGGTGGCTGTGGGCAGTTCTCTCCTGTGCAGTTGCT